TCTTCAGAGAACAAACAGGTCGGGGAAAACTCAAGAGCACCGTATCAGAAGTGACACAGTAAAACTGAGCCTTATCTCAACTAGAATTTGTATTGTTAGGGGTGTTAAATGAATGACCGGTGGCGATCCATGATCACCAGGATATTTAATTTTCTCTGTGTTTATTATGTAGGAGTTTCCCAAGCAGAGGCATTAAAGGAGGAGAACGACTCCCTACGCTGCCAGCTGGACGCCTACAGGAACGAGGTGGAGCTGCTAAAACAAGAACAAGGCAAAAATCAGCCAATTAGGAGCGAGGAGGACAACACTCACTCACAGCAGCTCAGCTTCCTGCAGCAGGCTCTACAAGGCATGCAGAAGGTGATGCTTATCGTCTACACAGACGCATACAGACACATTATTCTGTCCAACAGTGGGTTTAAGCTCCTATTGGTTCCTGTCTGCACTGGGTACTTTGTACCAACGAGGTCGCTCAGGTTAACTCGTTGAATTTTCTAAAACCGTCGCTGTCATTTATCCATGACCCAGCACTTTAGATGGTAACTAAGTGCTATTTGGGAGCACGTAGAGAAGCACAGTTGTCTGGAGCATCTGTGAAGAGCAGCTGAAAAATATTTTCAGTCTTACGGGAACACAACGGGTTTTATTTGGAACTGGAGAGCTCAGTGCTGCGATTCAAACAGCATATTCTTGGAACGAACCCAAGGCTATTAAAACCATTTCAGACCATTTAATCAAAAAAAGATATTGAAAAAACATTCTCGATTAGGATTTTAATGACATGAACTAGGTTTCAATCTAAAAGTTGCTGAATAACTTTTTACATTTCCTACTTTAAAAAGAAACCCATCTAAGTGTTTTAAAACATTTTCATGTCACGCTTGGACAGCACACACAGGATGCAACACTTTCTACCCCTCAGCTGTTGAGCTGATGGGGTTTTGTTGTCACCCACCCAAGTTTGTGAATGTGATAACTCGAAAACGAGGCGACGTAGGATTTTCAAATTCATACCACAGGTGCTTCTACTAAAAATCAAAGACGAGTTTGATGAAGTAAATCCGTTGGACATTTTTCTTTGCCTTTAGACAATAATTCTGATGGCAAAAGAACCAAACGGGACAGGCAAAAGACGAGTTTGAATCTTGGTGACCTCAACCCCAAGGTCAAGGAGTGAGGTCAGGTTTTCTGAAAGATAGGAGGCTGAGGTGGTCAGTATTGTCAGAAAGCATGCACAGACAATTTTAGAGGTTCAAGTCTACAAAGTTGAGTTAATAGGCTCCTAAAATTCCAAAAATAATTTGAATTCATGCATCCTCACATGCAGCGTTATCTTTTCATGCACCTCTGGGCCCATTTTCATTCAGCTCATGTTTTACATCCCTACACAGAAGTGTTTTTTCTGGTCTCCTTGCACTTGTGCCTCCACAGTCATGCAGAGTTTCCACCTGGTTTCCAGATTGTGGAAAATTGCAGTCAGAACAGTCTGGGGACAAAGTGAAGGTGCAAAGTGACCCAGATCCCCTGGATCACCCTCCTGACCCTACA